AGAACAGATGCCACAAATCAAGAAAGGGGACTGTGTCAAATTTAAAGCTTCTTCACAGCAAAGGAAACAGCCACCAGAGTAAAGAGACAACCTACAAAATGGGAAAAAACAGTCACCAGCTACTTCTCCAACACAGGACTAACATCAAAAATATCTAAACTGGGCATGGTGGTGCACACCCATAATCCCAGCACTTGGAAGGCTGAGGACGGAGGATCACCAAGAGTTCAAGGCCAGCCTAGACTACACAGCAAGAGCCTATCTCAAAATAAATATAAAGAACTCAAAAAAATTTGACCCCTCCCCATAAAATACCCAATCAAAAATGGGCAACCAAAATCAGTAAATGTTTCTAATAAGAAACACAACTGGCCAATAAACAAAAGAAGAAGCACTCACATCGCTGGCCATGTACGTTAAACCTACACTGAGGTTCCATCTTACCTCAGAACGGCTATCATCTAATAATAACATGTTGGCAAGGGGGGGAGCTTTTCTACAAGGTTGGTGGGAACGTGGACTAGTACAACCACTGTGGAAATCAGTGCGGAGATTTCTCAAAAACAAAAAATAGAAATTGCAGCTGTCCCTAAGTATCTCCCCAAGGAGGTAAAATCTCCGTAATCCAGGGATGCTTGCATGCTCATGTCTGCAGCACTTCAACTTATAATAGCTGGATCTTGGAGACAGCATATACACCCAGCAACAGGTGAATGAATAAAGAAAATGTATTATACACAACGGAGTATACACTGTCATAAAAATAAACCTGAGCGTTCAGAAGTACATGGATGCAACCTGAGAACATGTTAAATGAAGTAAGTCAGGCCCGTAAGCTTAAATATTGTATTTCTCTTATGTGAGAAACAAAATATATACAGACAAATAAGGAGCAAAATAGAAGCGATAAATAGGAAGTAGGGAACGCTTCAAATAATTCCCCAAATTACTTTTTTTTTTTTTTTTTGCAAAACCAGGGACAAAACTCAGGCCCTTGCACTTACCAGGGAAGCACTTATTCCACTGAGCCATCTCCCTGGCCCCTACATAGTCCATTGTTCCAAAAATATTTTGTGGGCCGGGGAGATACCTCAGTAGAATAAGCGCTTGCCTGGCAAGCACAAGGGCCTGTGTTCAATCCCTGGTTCCGCCAAAAAAATAAATAAAAATAAAAAATAAAATGCAGAGAGGACAAAAATATTTTGCTTTTAATCTTTTTTATTTATTAGGTGTAGGGTCTCGCTATGCAGCTCAGACTCACAGTGATCCTCCTGTCTCTGCCTCCCCAACACTAGGATTACAGGCATGTGCCACCATGTCTGGTTTCAATGGCCAGCTCGACTACCTGGGCCAGCACAGTGTGTGGCACCGCGGATTGAACCCAGGTCCTTGTGCTTGCCGGGTAAATGCTTAAACTGCCAAGCTATCTCCCCAGCACCTCCAAAAATATTTTACAATATATGCTATATTTGTTTCATTTTTACTATTAATTTATCTTAGTTTATTGTAAAGAAAGTTTTATTCTTTGTAAGACTCCTTTTGGTCTATGTCTTATACTCTGAAAGATAATGCTACACATTCATTAACTGTTATTATTTGGTTATAAAACTAAAATGTTTTCATGGCATATTTCAGCTAGTTGTAATTATACAACTTTAGACTTAAGGGTCCACTATTTGATACTTTTCTTATTGAACATTTGCCTCTATGTTGGAAAATTAAACCATAGTAAAGAAAAAGAGCAACTGTACTTTCATATTTCTTTTTTTTTTTTCTTTCGTTCTTTTTATTTTATTTTATTTTATTTTTTGGTCCTTTTCTGAGACAAGGTCTCACTATACAGCTCAGGCTGGCCTTGAGTTCACATTGTAGCCTATGCTGGTCTCGAACTCATGACAATGGCCAGGGAGATGGCTCAGTGGAACTCATGACAATCCCCCTGCCTCAACCTAAATGCTGGGATTACAGGCATGTGCCACCACTCCCAGCTGTCACAGTATTTCTTGTATTTTTATTTTTAATGTATTATGACAGGGTCTACAGGGTCTCACTAAGTAGATGAGACTCATAGTGATCCTCCTGTTTTCAGCCTCCCAAGCACTGGGATTACAGGTGTGTACCACCAGGCCCAGTCGCAAATGCCGGCTCAGTGCACCCCGGGGGGCGAGGCCAGCACAGCACACCGGGGATCGAACCCTGGCCGCTGTGCTCGGCCTAAGCAGGCGCTTTAGTCTGCTGCACTATCTGGCTGGCCCTTGTCACAGTATTTCTGAAATTTTCCATTTTGTCAGATGCAAGGAGGGAAAAAAGATGAGTAATAGCAAATGAGAATTAAAATGAGACTAAATGGCCATGTGTGGAAGGTTGTACACACCTGTAGAACCAGCTCCTTGGGAGGCTCGGGCAGGAGGATTACAAGTTTAGCACCAGCCTGGGCAACTTAGTGAAACCACGTCTCAAAACAAAGTGAAAAAAAAGTTCAAAGCATTGAGGAGTTCCTGGCGTGCAGCTCGGTGGCACCGCACCCGGCAACAGGCACAAAGCCCTAGGCACAACCCTTAGCGCCACCAAAGAAAAAAGAAAAATTGGGAATACACAGAGAAGGCATTTTTAATTTTTCACCTCCCAAAAGCTCTACACACTCAAGGAGAATAGGAAATGGATGGCGCACGTCTGTCCGTAACAGCATCATCAGAGAAAGCCTCACTTGAGTGCACTTACCTTGTGGAACTGCTTCAGATACATGTAGCACACGCCTAGGTTATGGAAGATCTCCTGCAGCAGGACAGAGGAAACAGCTTAGGTGCGGTTCCACGGGCAGCGCGGGCAGCAGGGCAGCGAGACTGACACTGCCTGCCGAAGGCTGAGCTCTGCGACGTGCACCACAGCTAGCTGCACAGAACTCTATAAAGGGAGTTCCTGAATCCGGAGATAAATGACAGCTAAGAGGTAAGAGCAGGCTGAACGGGCAACCTCCCTGATCCCTGGCTCCCGGAGGCGCGCACCCTCGTCTCTCCAAAAGCTGCCCGCCACCCACATCCTCCGTGGACCCATAGCCAGGCTTCACCCTTAAGGAAACCCTGTCTGCCTAACTCAGGACACCTGTGTCAACCAGAGGCCTCTCCTGGGCCCAGGCACTGTAGCTGGGGTGCCGAGAGTGCCACCTGGTGGCTGCTCTAATGAAACCTGTGACAGCAGAGGCCTTCTCTAGAGGGTGCAGAAGTCAGGAAACTGCAGCCCGCTGGCCAACTCATATCTGCCCTTTTCTGTGAACTTTTACTGAAACTCAGCCGTGACCACTTGTGTTCATGTGGGTCTCTGACACTTGACATGCGGGTTAAGGTGCTCCACCAGCCTGCAGTAGGCTGCCGAGCTCAAAGGTCTGTCAACCTCTGATCTACAGAAAGAGGAGGAAGCAAACCTGCAGCAGAACCACCTTGGTTCCCACCCCCTTTTGGTTCTAGCTCCTGCAGGAGCGAGGCCCACCCCTACCCTTCTGCGCCTGGAGTCCCTCGAAACCTCTGTAATGGGAGGCAGCTTTGGAGGAGGAGTGATGGGCCCCCCTGTGTGGGGGGCTCCATCCCAGAATCCAGGCCAGAGCCCAGAGACAGCCAGTTTAGCGCTTTCCAAGTCCTTCAAGTAAGGACAAAACAACGACCCCTGATGCCACATCTGTTTTAAACAACTTGGAGCGAGACGTCTGCATATGCATTTGTTTCATTTGCCAGCAAATCTCCCACATGGCACAAGTTTTTCAGTGTTACAGATAAGAAAAGCTCAGAGAAGTAAAGTAATTTGCTTAACACAGAAAGCGCCACCAACGGAAAAGTTTTGGCTTTTTAGTTTTATATTCTGTGTGCAAAGGCAGAATCACCATGAACCCATCATTCTGTCTCCACAATTACTCAACCCATACTCTGCCTACTCCGTGTGTGTGCGTGTGTGGCACGAGGACTGAACTCCATGTTTTCACACTGAGCTACATGCCTGTCAACAGCAGGGATTTTTCTTCAACTGCAGTCCAAATCCTGTCCGTCTGACAGAGCACAGGGACCTGCAGCACGGCCTCCCTGCAAATGCGCGCACTTCCCTCTTCACCAAACCGCAAGACCCTGACACAGAAGGGGGACAAACAGCCTTTCTTGTCCCCGCCACCATTCATTTTCAGTCATCTGCCACCGATACCACTTGCAAAGGCAGCAGCACTGCGCCTCCCACTGAGCCCATGGGCCGGCAGGCAAGCGTGCCCCCAGGCTGGCTTCCTGCCGCTCGGGCTGGCCTGCCATGGCACATCCTTCTGGCTGTGTCAGCGGTGGAAATGTTCCTTCCTTACTGAGTCAGTGCAAACAATGAAGGGAAGTGGCTGCAGGCAGAATCCTCCATCCCAAACCTAACTGACAACCAAACCCTGCTGCTCACCGACTGCTCTCAGAACTCGTTCCTCCACAGCACAGAAAAAGTCAATGAATTTGTACCTCCTTGTTATTTTATGGATATATGTATACACGTGTGTGCACTGGGACGCTGAGCCCAGGGCTTTACTGAGCTGTACCTCCAGGCCCAACTTTTCTTGATCTGTAGCTCCACCTTTGCCCTTAGCTATAAAATAGTCCACAGCACTGCCAATCACGGTACTTAGGAGGCAGAGGCAGGAGGATCCCTGTGAGTTCAAGGCCAGCCTGGGCTACATAGTAAGATCAAGGCCAGACTGAATTACATAGAGATATCCTGTCTCAGAAAAACAAACAAGAAACCATCTCAAACAGCTCATCCTGACGCTCACAGCAGGGATGTGACTGACACCCTGAACACACGCTGGAAATCAAAAATCGGCACTGCAGAAGACCCGAGTCAGTCTGGTCCTCCTCTTGCAGTTACAAATGCTTCCCAGGAATCCTCACATCTTGAAAAACACAACAGTATGAAAAAGAAGAACTGACATCTGGCACCTGCGCTTTTAACTATTTAGAAGGCTGAGGCAGGAAGACCACAGGTTCAAGGCCAGCCAAGGCAACGTAGGAAGAGTCTGACAACATACAAAACAAATGAAAAGGGCTGGCGATGCAGCGGGCAGGAGAGCACTTCCCTAGCAGAAGTGGGCCCTGGGTCCCAGCCCCACTGCTGCCAAAGAAAGGAAATAAAGAGCACGGAACAACAGTTCTGGGCAGCAGAACAGAGCTTAAAGAATTGATTTCAAGAAGGGTAGCACAAGGTCCCAAGCTGAGGGTAGCTGATAGTAATAATGACTGGGAAGGTGCCTTGTGTGTAGGAACCTTCAAGGCATTCTAATTCAACAAACATGAAAAACCCAGTGTGACAACTATTTTGTTAGAACAGCAGATGGGAAACCAACACTTAGTCTAATTATCTGCCGCAATTATACATAATCTCCAAGAGACAATGTAAGCCAGGCACGGTGACATTTGTTTCCCAGTTCTTAGGAGGCTGGGACAGAAGAGTGAATGAGGGAGGGAATGAATAAGCAAATACCACCCTAAGACAATGTAGGGAGTAAAAAAAATCAAAACATTGGGCCAGCAAGACAGCTCAGTGGACTAAGCGCCTGCTTAGGCAAGCACAGGGACAGGGGTTTGATCCCTGGCACCACATGCTGTGCGGGCCCTGCCCCACGGGGCACACTGAGCTGGCCACGGAGACTGGGTGTGGTGGCACACACCTGTAATCCCAGCACAGAGGAGGCTGAAAACAGGAGGTTCACTACAAGTCCAAGCTGTGTACAGACCTTGTACCAAATACATTAAAAAAAAAAATTTAAAACATTGCCCCAGGAAAATGGTCACCCAAAGAAAGGCAGGGTTTCAAGAGTAAAACAGCCAACAATGTCAAGCAGACTGGAGGAAAAATAAACAAAATGAGATTAATAATGGCTTGGAATGTCAGTGATATGAAGTGTGAACATAAAGATACGTTAGTATGGCCAGTCTCGAGCGAGCAGGAGGCTGCCGACTGCAGCAGCAGAGCGACGCCTAAAGCAAAGGAACTGGTTTCTTCAAGCTCTTCAGGCAGCAATTCTGACAGTGAAATTGACAAAAAGTTAAAGAGGAAAAAGCAAGTTGCTCCAGAAAAGCCTGTAAAGAAGCAGAAGACTGGTGAGACTTCAAGGGCTTTGTCATCTTCTAAGCAGAGCAGCAGCAGCAGAGATGATAACATGTTTCAGATTGGGAAAATGAGATATGTCAGCGTTCGGGACTTTAAAAGGAAAGTTCTAATTGATATTAGAGAATATTGGATGGACCCAGAAGGTGAAATGAAACCAGGAAGAAAAGGTATTTCTTTAAATCCAGAGCAGTGGAGCCAGCTGAAGGAGCAGATTTCTGACACTGATGATGCAGTAAGAAAACTGTAGAATCTGAGCCATAAAACCTATACTGTTGGGGCTGGTGAGATGGCTCAGTGGTCTAAAGCACCTACTTAGAACAAGCTTAGCAAAACACAGGGACCGCGGTTCAATCCCCAGCACCACAGGCCAGCCACCCCGCCCCCTGGTGGGCTGAGCTGGCCACACACACACACACACAAATAAAAATTTAAAAAAAAAAACAAAAAACCTGTACTGTTGTAGTTGTTTTACTCTGTCTTTTTACATTGGCTTTTGTTTTCTAAACGTTGTTTTCCAAGCTGTTGTATATTTGGATTGCAGAACAATTTGTAAGATGAATACTTTTTTTTTAATGTGCATTATTAAAAATGTTCTGAGTGAAGCTAATTGTCAACTTTATTAAGGAGGATCGCTTTGTGCCCACCACCTAGGGTAAAATAAAATCAAGTAATTCCACTCATTTAAAAAAAAAAAGATATGTTAGTATACAAGGATTCCATCATAATAACAGGATCACTGTCTGAAGAACTGACCTGTTAACATGCTTCTCAAAGACAGAAGGAGTCTCCTACTCACCCAATCTTTCTGGTTAAGTCTAGCAGCTTCATTGTATACTTCGATGGCTGCCTTATGTTTTCCTAAAAGAAATCTGAAAGATACATTTTCAGTATCAACATTGGGTTTTTGGCTTTTTTGGTTTTGGTTTTTTGCTACAGGGTGTTAATATGTAGCTGTAACCCAAGCACGCCTTAAACGCATGACCCCCGGCCTCAGCCTCCTGAGTGCTGGGATTACCGGTGTGCGCCATGACACACAACAGTCTCAACATTTCTTCCCTTCTAACTCACCAGCCCCACGTTTCTCTGTCCTCCACACAGCATGGGACCCCCTCGGCCTCTTCCCGGCCTCTGTGCAGGAGGCAGGAGCACTCCACCTGGAGCCAACACACGAGTGCTGCCACAGCAGCTGCTCCTGGGCCTCTGTCTTATTACACGGCATTTTTGCTGACCAAAAATGGAACCAGCCAAGGGGTAGCCGACCAGCAACAGCTGCCATCATTTATGGCCTTCCTCCAGGTCACTTCTTTCAGAGTCTGGATCACGACTTTGGAAAGAAGCAAGGGAAGACCAGCTCGAGGGGAAAAGCAGCATAACACAACACCAAAGTGAACGCAGTGAAGGGAGAGGATGGAGACCGCCCTCCACCCTAGCCGCTCCCGTCCTCTGCGGAGGGGGCTGTACTTAGTAGCTCAGGAAGACTACTGAGCAGTAGCTTCCAAGCGGGAACCTTCAAGCAGTCACTCAACAAACTCACTAAAACACCCACTGTGCATCAGATGTCGTGTCAAGTGTCAGAACGGCAGATGGAGAAGTTCTGTGGGTGCCGATATAATTCAAGCACAAGCTGACACTGCTAAAGGGGATCAGTGCTCTTCAGTGCAACTAGAGGATACGGTGCTCGCCACACTGTTCGATCTCAGCCAGGTGTGGTGGTGCATGCCCGTAATCCCAGCACTCGGAGGCTGAGGCAGGAGCATTGCTCCAAGTATGAGGCCAACCTGGATTAAAAGTGAGTTCAAGGGCCGGAGAGATGGCTCAGTGGAATAAGTGCTTCCCTGGCAAGCACAAGGGCCTGAGTTCAATCCCCAGTTCCGCAAAAAAAAAAAAAAAAAAAAAAAAAGTGAGTTCAAGGCTGGCACGAACTACACAGTGACACTCTCTCAAAAAAACCAAAAACGGGGCCAGCAAGATAGCTCAGTGGACTAAACCTCTGCTTAGGCAAGCGCAGGGACCGGGGTTCGACTCCTAGCACCGCATGCCGGCACCAGCCTCGCCTCCGGGCCCGCTGAACCCACCACCACCTGTAACCCCAGTACAGGAGGATCACTATGAGTATGAGCTGTGTAGTGAGACCCTGTACCAAATACATTAAAAAAAAAAAAAAAAAAAAAAGACAAACAACAAAGAAAGGAAAAACCTGGTTGATTTCACTTTTTCTCAAATGTCAAGACCCCCCCCCCAACTCTTGGGGGTCCAGAGCAATGCTGCTGTGCCCCGCAAGCCCCTTCAGCCACCGCTCGGCCTCCAGCTCCTGTACTCACAGTGACCGTGCGACCTGCTTGAGGTTGTCTACGCTCTGAGGGCTGAGAATCGCACACGTCTGAAACAGCTCCAGGGATTCCTGGATCTTCCCTTCCAGGCGCAGTATCAGCGCTGCAAGGAATAGAAAGACTAGGAAGGCGTGGCCCAGCATCAGAGGGAGGCGAGCTACCATCTGGCTCCAACTGCGTCTCCCACAGATGCCACTCTGGTGCCAGGAAGGGCCAGCAGAGCCATCAGCACCCAACCTCCCAGCCTCGCCACACAGCACACAGGTTCCTTCGCAGGTGACCTCAGAGGGTAGTCACACAGGAAGGGCAGGCGGGCTTGCCCTCAGGTGCTCCGTTTACTACGCCAGTGCGGCTGCCCACAGTCCACAGAGCGCAGCCAGGGCCGTCTCGGGGGTCCACGTCTGAGGCCCTAGGGGTATGCGCGCAGCCGCCTGCGTCTAAGCGACCAACCAAACCAATGGTTCTTCCTATGCTTATGTTTGCAGAAGGATTTATCAGGGTCTGAAAGCCTCGAACTTGTGATGTTTGTTGAAAAGAGCGCAATGCTTTGTCAAGATGTCCTAAATGTGTCACTGTCTCAACTGCACCAGGCGATGATGCATTCATCTGAAACTATAAATGCAATAAATGGTAAACAACACTTGGCTGCCTGATAGCTCAGCGGACTAAAGCACCTGCTCAGGCAGAGCGCAGTGATGGGACTTTCATCCCAGGCGTTCCCTGCTGTGCTGGCCCCACCCCCAGGGTGCACTGAGACATCTGAGCCTGGGCATTGTGGTACGCAACAGTAATCCCAGCACTTGGGAGGCTGAAAACAGGAGAATCACTACAAGTCTGATCTACATAGTGAGACCCTGTAGACCCTGTCCTAAATACAGAAAAAAAGGAAAATATAATAAACAAAACTATTCATGAATACCAAAGAGTCAAAAAGTGAATCCCCGGAAAAATTCAGGATGATACTTTTGGCATTCAAGAATAAAATTTAAGCTAGGCATGGCAGCGCAGGCTTGCCATCCCAGCACCTGGAGGCTGAGGCAAGAGGTGTGTAAATGAAGCCCAGCCTGCACTACCCAGTGCAACAGTGGCTCAAAACAAAAGAACAAGCTTGAGGACAGTGGTTCGTAGATCTGGTTTCTTAAGTGTTCTTCCTGTCCTCTGCATCAGCCTATATATCAACAGGCTGCTTCTCTTCACCCTCACAGGGCTCAAAACATCAAGACATTTCTCATCCCGCTTAGCTGGACTCTAAGGGACCCTTCCAAAAGCAGCTTCTGGCCCTAAAACTCCTGCATTAGGTAGGAAGCCTAAGCATCCATTTGGAAAAACCCCGGCCACAAACTAAACAGTGGTGAAGGGCAGGTTCAATGTCTGGCAGTACTTTTCCGGTTTAGATTTGTATGTCCGTGAGCTGCCCAAGCTCCTAGGAAGGCCTCTGGAAGGAAGCTGGCTGGCTACTAGGAGGCGGGGCCTGGTTGGAAGAGGGTGTTCCTGGGGGTGTGGCTGGGGTTCAGCTCCCACCCCTGCTCCTCTCCTCCAGTCTCTCCACTTGGTCAGCCAGGCCCCAAGCAGCTGCAGCCCTGTGCCTTGCCACCGCCCTGGAGCCCGCAGAGCGTGGTCCGGAACCTCTACCAACCAGGAGACAAATACACCTGTCCTACAATGTGAGCACTGCATCTTAGCGGCAAGGAGAGGAACTAGGATAATACCAGTCATTTCTGAAAGGAAATCCAGAAAGAAAAAAATCACATTCTCATTTTTAAAAAATACTGCATAGGGCCGCACAGCTAGCTCAGCGAACTAAGCGCTTGCTTATGCAAAGGCAAGGACATGCCCCCAGGCACGCTGAGCAGCCACCAAGACCAGTGCGGTGGTGCACGCCTGTAATCCAGCGCTGGGAGACTGAAACAAGAGGATCCCGACGAGTACGAGATGCACAGTGAGACCCTGTACCAAACACACTGGGGGAAAAAGTGCTGAAGAGACATCTGTGGCGCATTTATTTGAAGTATTTCATATGCTGTTTGGCTTTTTCTAAGAACCCAGACTGGATTCTCCAGTGAGAAGATATATAGGTCTTACCTAGGACATAGATCGCATATTCACAGAGTCCGTGGGTTTCCTGAAGCTGTTCTTTGATAACAGCCTGAAAGAGGGAAAAAGTTACCTCTGAGTAGAGGTTAAGCGTAAGGAAAGGCAGACGTGGGCAGAGGACACACGTGACAAACCTGGGACACCTACAATGACTGATAAAGCAGTTCATTCAGTCTTCAAAATCTTAATTTGTGTTGTGACTACTCGTTTTAGAACAGGGTTGACAAGCTATTGGGCTCACAGCCTTTTTTCTTTTTAATGTATTTAGTACAGTCTACATACAGGGTCTCGCTACACAGATCAAACTCACAGTGATCCTCCTATTTTTAGCCTCCGAAGTGCTGGGATTACTGGTGTGGGATACCACACCAAGTCTCAATAGCCATCTCAGCACACCCGGTCCCTGCATCTGCCTAAGCAGGCACTTTAATCCACTGAGCTACCTGGCCAGCCCTTCAAAGACCATTTTTTAAAGTTCTCAGGCTGAGTAGTTTTTTGGCTCCAAATGCCTTCAGGGCAGGTTTGGCTGGCTTGAGTTGTAGGGATCGAACCACAGCAACCTAAGCCTGACTTTGTTGAAGCAGCCACTTAAAGAACTGAGCTAAGGGGCAGGCCCCCAGGCTGAGTAGTTTTTAATATTTATTTATTTATTGAGATAGGGTCTCACTGTGCAGTTCAGGCTGGCTCTGAACTCACTATGTAGCCCATGTTGGCCTCAAAGTCTTGGCAATCCTCCTGCATGTACCACCATGTCCAACACTGTATTTTTATTTTATTTTTATTTATTTATTTATTTATTTTGTATGTGTGTGGCCAGTTCAGCCCACCAGGGGGCGGGGCTGGCTGACATGTGGTGCTGGGGGATTGAACTGTGGTCCATGTGTTTTGCTTAGCTTAGCTTGTTCTAAGTAGGTGCTTTAGACCACTGAGCCATCTCACTAGCCCCCAACACTGTATTTTTTAAAAGTTATAAAGAAGATGACTGTGGACCGCTAGGTCCTTCTGCATGGTAGTCGCCTTCTGGTATGGCAGTGGTGGCGAGCCTACGGTGTGCCAGCCCCAGCTGGCTGTTTGCTACCACTAAAAGCCCCTAAACAGTCTAAGCACCTGCGTGGCAAGCACGAGGACCCGGGTTTAATCCCCAGCACCACATGCTGTGCCAGCCCCAGAAGCCATGCCAGCCACCTAAACTGGGCGTGGTGGCACATGCCAGTAATCCCAGTGTTGGGAAGGCTGAGAAAGGAGGATCACTATGAGTCCAAGCTGCAGAGTGAGACCTTGTACCAGTAAATAAATAAAATTTTTTAAAATTTATTTTTAAAACAAGCCCTAAAAGTTCATCATCATGGAAGCAGGGTGCGCTTCTTTCCTGCAGAAAGCTTGGTCCACACTCACTCTGTGAAGCCTGTTTCTTTTCCTACCTTTAATAAAATTTCACTGTCATTTAAAAAAAAAAAAAACATGCTGATTATCTGTGGCTTATAAATTTGAAACTATTTACTGTCTGGCCCATTGAAGAAAATGCTGCGAATGCCTGTCTGAAGTCTAAGCAGGTAAGCTACAAAAGCACAAGATTTTCTGGCTCCACAGATGCCAGAAGTCCTCTGATGAGCCAGGCCAAGCACAGAGGCCAGGGACAATCAGCCAAGATCTGCCAACTAAGCCACAGACAGCAAGGGGCCACAGCCAGCCACCAGCCAGCCACCAGCCACCCACCGCCCTCCGCCGCCGCTCCCCGCGCAGCTGTCACCTTGCACGCCTCATAATCCTTTCGGATGTAGTGCAGGTGGATCAGCCAGTTCAGCTTCTCGAAGGTGGGACCCTCAGGAGCTGGGGACACAACAAGCAGCATGGCCAGCATTAGGCTTCATCCTTAGGCTCTGCTCTCGTGTCTAAATGCAAGGCCACTCCAGCCTCACTTTCACTTCGTCCTGCTGTGAACCATAAGATGAAGCACAGCAGAAACACCAGAAATGCATGTCTACTGTACCCTGGGTGCTTGTCTCTAGAGTTTTTGTGGCTTATGATGTCAGTTTCTTTTCTTCTTCTTTTTTTTTTTTTTTTTTTTTTTTTTTAGCAGAACCGAGGATTGAACGCAGGTCCTCGTACTTGCCAGGGAAGCGCTTATTCCACTGAGCCATCTCCCCGGGCCCTATGATGTCAGTTTCTAGGCTGACAACTTGGCCTGAAAAATACAAAGGATCATCCTTTGTTTAGTTTTCTCCCTCTCTCCTGGCTGATCAATTTCAGGAATATTTCTAACAATCTATTTAGTACTGTTAATGGCATCAGAATATGCCATTAACCTGATCAGAATACCAAAACTACTGTAATTGGTCAAACACCACCTTTAGAAATGACTCTAATGGGAAACTGGACGTGCGCAGCGACGAGAAGCAATCATGAACACGTGTGACCAGCTCCTGGCCACTAACTGAAAGGCAGAAACGTGGATGCTTGCAAAAATTCACCAACACTTTGAAAAAAAATAAAAAATAAAAAATAAAAATAAAAAAAAGAAATAAAAAAAATTCACTGACAACCAGGCAGAAGGAACTGGGGTCACCTTCAAAGAGTAAAGATTTGAGGGAGGGAGGAGGAGGAATAGGATTGGAAAATATGAAAAGGAGACTTCAGCTCATTGTCTGATGTCTGTTTCTCAAAAAAAAAAGCCCTTCAAGTAAACAAAACTACATGCTTTAGTTTACCAAATCTGGCTGATGTATCAGCACCATATTATTATTATGTCTGAGACATCCCTGATTTTTAAAAACATAAAAGGGGAGAGCAGGAGAAAAGAGAGCAATGATTTGTAACCAATGGTGAGTGTCCCTGAACCCACAGAAATCCTAAAACTTCTATGGCCATAATCTGACCGCGGAGGGGTGGCAGCTTCCTGCTGGGGATGTAGCTCAGCGGCATAACACCTGCCTGCACAAGGTCTTAAGTTTAATTCCTGGTACAAAAAACCCCACAGTGTTCTGGGACCCAGAGACAATGTTGTCCCAACACAAAATTAAAAGTAGTGGTACTTGGGGCTGGCGAGATAGCTCAGTGGTCTAAAGCACCTGCTTAGGCAAGCGTAGGCAAAGTGCGGGGTTCGATTCCCAGCACCACATGCCACGCCAGCCCCGCCCCCAGGGCAGGCTGAGCCTGTCTCTCTCTCTCTCTCTCTCTCTCTCTCTCTCTCTCTCTCTCTCTCTCTCTCACACACACACACTCTCTCACACAGTAGTGGTGCCCACTCTCCCCCAAAATAAGGAGCATCAGCAGATTTGTAAAGTGAAATGACACAAAATATGCCCATCGTCTCTTACTAGAACACTTCTCTAGTCTCGTTCTTCCTTCCATGACTCATGCCTAACCTCTTCCAGAATTAAAGTTTTCCTACTCAAAGCCACACAGATCACTAAGATTAAAGATGCACGTATAGCCAGGTGTGGGGTACATGCTTGTAATCCTAGCACTCTGGGAGGCTGAGGAAGATCACAAATTCAAGCCCAGCCTGGGCAACTTAGCAACTCTGTGAGACTTTCTCAAAATAAAAATAAAAATAAAAAGCTGACTTCAAATGTAGCTCCATGCAAAGATGCTGGATTCACTTCTCAGTATAAATACATAAAGCAAGCAAGCTTCTATGTGGAACATGACAAGTACACTGCAATGAAGAGTTCTGGGGCACACGGCTTCCTGAATAGTGGGCTTTCTGTGGAGTTCAGGCTGGCCCTGAACTGTGTAGCCCAGGTTGGGCTCGAACTTTTGGCGATCCTCCTGCCTCAGCCTCCCAAGACTATAATTATAGGTATGCACCCCCATGACCTGCCAAAATGTGAACTTTTAGGTCTTGCCTTTTATGAAAACCTCACAAAAGATGAGTCGAATCCCAGAGTGAAGACAGGGAAAAAAAAAAAAAAAAAAAAGTTCCATTCACTGGGAGGCCCAGAATTCAGCATCTTAGTTTCAGTCCCCCACAATTGTCCCACCACCGATGTGGGACTTTGGGAAACAAGAGTCTCCTTATCTGTGAAGTCAACATTCCAGGAGCTGCCTGCCACAGGCCAGGCACTGGGGACTGAAAAGTGAGCCAAAGTGCTCCAGGCTCCAGGGAGCTCACAGGGCGGGGCGCTGGTAGCAAAAGGACGCTTCCAAGTGCTTTTCTATAAAGAAAGTCAAAGCCAGGCATGAGGACACAGAGGGCAGGACCTAGACTTAACCTTTACACAGCGAGGTCAGCAAGCCGCTGCCAACAGCCTGCTACCCAGGAAGCCTGAAAGAAACCGCAGGGACTGCTATTGCTGCTGCGTGCGTTCTCATCAGCACTTGGTTGTTCTCAAAGACGAGACGCTGGAGACCGAGCCGCACACAGCAAAGCTGCCCAACACAGGGCCCTCCGGCTGTGCAGCAAAGAGCCTATCCACAATGCTCTCAGGTCGAGAGAACACCGCTGAGGCGGCCAAGGATGAGGGCTGCTGACACCTCCTACTCAGGGCACGAAGCTGCCAACCTGAGAGAGAAGACAGTTCTCTTCGTTGGCAAATCTGTGCTTGGAGACGTCTATGAACTGACTCCCAGGGTCCTGCTCAGTTCTCGCGCTTGCCTCAGTACCCCCTTTGTTTAAAAACTGAACAAATACGAAGTTCTCGGTCTCAGTCCCCAGGAAATCTCAAGGTCCCTTAGAGGGTTTTGACCCTTCTGGAGCCCTACAATCATAGCGCTTGTCTCTTATTTAAACCGTTTGCCATCCACTCGCATAGGAGACAGGGGCTAGGCCGAGGCCCCAGTGTGAGGGGGTTCGGGATACCTCAAAAGCTTTTAGAGCCCTGCATCTAGTTCGAGGTTACCTGTGAACACAAAAGTTCGCAGTCTGTTATTCCACATCATCGTTCACCCCAACCCCGCTACACGCGGGACACTGCTGCCAGGGCTCTCGGGACTGGCAGTGCCAGCGGCGCCTTCTGTCTGTGCCAGAGCACAGCAGATGTCGCCAGTGCTGTCCTAGAGGAGCCTCTATGAGCACAGAGGGCAGGGAGCAGCCACAGAGGGGACGCGAGCCACCCCTTTAGCTCCTGCGCTGCCTAGCAGTCACTGCCCAGGCAGCGGAAGGCTGGCAGCCTGGAAAGTTCCACTGTTCTGTGACATCGCAGGAGATGTCACACAATTCTGTGACTGCGGTCCTTCCCACTGTGCCATGTCCCCTGGGCCAAGGCCTCCCAGGAGCGGCCTTCCAGCAAACCCTTAAGCCACCTCTAGCCAATGCCAGTGCTGCTAGCCAGGCGGCACGCGGGCCATACAGAAAATGACTGTGACTCCTAGTTCTAATCACAAATGGTCCTGAAGTGACTAGCGCTTCTGTGAATACCCTGCACATAAAGCTCTCCGGGGCAAAGGGTCTCTCTCAGGAGCAGCCAGTATGTGGCACTCCACAGTTTTGGGGTGCAGAACACAGGGGGCCCAGCAGCAGCCTTTGCAGGCCCCAGGCCAGCTATTCTGCCTCCCCAGGCCTCCATGTCGCCCTTATAAACTTCACTGGAAAACATGAAAAAACATTTGACAAATACTATCTTCCTCATGCCCAACGGGAATCCTAAGACTTCCCTGTCTTGGTGCAGTACTCCAGACATAACGTGACAAAGCTTGACAAGACTGTAAAGGTAAGACATTTTTACTGCTGTCACTTTGAGCTCTGGATTGCTGGGCATAAGGTGGAAACACGGAAAGCACCTGAGCGTTTGATACGGGGCACTGCAGGCGGGGACAGGTGAAAGGAGAGTGAGAGGCCAGAGGCTGGGACGGGGGAGACCCATCATCTGAGCCAGACACAGCAGAAGCCACAGATGGCCCTAAGCCGCAAGGATGGAGGGAGGGACGCATGGCGACCCCAGTCAGGGCTGGAGCTCCAGGAGAAAGCTGAAAACAAGACTGGCCTGCCTGGCAGAAGCAGCAGAGAGAAGTTTCCAGAGCCAGCCCCTCCCCCACAGCCCCCAAGTGCAGATGGGGGGCTGGCTTCGGTCCCCGCCCACCTTCAGACCCAGCCAGAGCTGTAAGAAAAAGGGGAAGAGGAGGACCTTCACAAGACCAGGCAGAAGAGGCAAGCGGCTGTAACAGTACACGATAAAGATCTAGAAATGTGAATCATTGGGCTGGAGAGATGGCTCAGGAGAAGCGCTTGCCTGGAAAGCTCAAGGGCCTGAGTTCAATCCCTGGTTCGGCCAAAAAAAAGAATAAGCACTTGGCTGGCAAGTGCAAGGACATGAGTTCAATCCCCGGTTCTGCCAAAGAAAGAAAGAAAGAAAGAAAGAAAGAAAGGAAGGAAGGAAGGAAGGAAGGAAGGAAGGAAGGAAGGAAGGTAGGTAGGTAGGTAGGTAGGTAGGTAGGTAGGTAGGTAGGTGAATCATGGATAGGAAACAAATTCAGAGCACCGTGGTTGGTGCACACCTGCAATTCAAGAGGCTGAGGCAGGAACACTGCTAGGAGTCTGAGGCCAGCCTGGGCTACACAGTGAGGTGCTGTGTCAAAAAACAAAGTATGTACACACACACACACACACACACACACACACACACAAGACAATGGCTGGGATGCTGGCAAGAGCCTGCGATCCTGGCTTGGGAGGCTGAGGGTGGATGGCTGCAAGGTCAAGGCCAGGCAGCCTGAACTGCATCGTGAGATCTTGTCTCAGAAAAAAGACACAGTGTGGTGGCCCACGGCTGCAATCCCAGCACTTGGGAGACTGAGGCAAAAAGACTGCTGTGAGCCGGACGCCAGCCTGGGCTTCGTAGCAAAACCTTGTCTCAAAAAAAAAAAAAGATATTCCCACCAGCAACACAATA